AATCTTTCTCCCTTTCTTCTCTCTTTCTCTCTCCCTTTCTCTCCTCTCTCTCCTTTCATCTCTCTCCTCTCTTTTTATTTTTCCTCTTTTTCTTTCTTTCTCTTTCTTTTTATTTCCCTCTCTCTCTTTCTTCCTCTTTCTCTCTCTCCCTCTCCTTTTTTTATTTTCCCTTTCTCTCTTTCTTTCTGTCTCTGTCTTTCTGTCTCTTTCTCTCTCTCTCTGTCTCTCTCTCTCTTTCTCACTCTGTCTCTCTCTCTCATGGATACTGTAGCTGTGGGGCCTTCCCTGCAGAGAGCCAGGGAAGCAGCTGTGGGAGCTTCGGGCTTCTAACAATAGCAGGAGAGGTGGGATGGACTGTTGTGCACAGGCCGGTGATGGTCTCTTCTGTCTCATCTCCCCGCTTTGTCTCGCAACCAGATTCCTGAGGGAGGCTGGCCCCTAGCCTGCCAGGGCCTTGCTCACCCGTCCAGGAGGGTGTGCCGACTCTTGGGTCTGGGCCAGTGCCAGGCCGCCAGACCCGGAGAGGCAGCCAGTTTTTAGCAGGAATGCTCATAGCCCCTCCTCACTCATAGCCAAATATTCCCACTCTTCTCTTCGACATCCTGTTCTGGCCTCCGCTTTGGTCGTCCAGGGGTTAAGGCCAAGGTCCGGCTTTGAGATGTCCCTTACTAGCCCACCTCCGATGCCTCTCTCTTCCCAATGCCCTGGCTCTCACTGTGGCAGAGCCAGAAGTCTCCTGATGAACTCCTGGCCCCCACTGCCTGCCCCTGCCCAGACACCCCGGCCTTCCTCCCTCCCACCCCCCACCCCCATCTCACCCCTGTCTGCAGCTGCACTTGGTATGGTCCGTGCCGGCTCCAGAGCCGTCCTCGGGGACTGACTGCAGCCTCACACGGGCGGGCGGGCAGCAGCTCCAGTGAGGGGCACACAGCCACTGGCAGAGGCCTGGCTTGGGGCTGCCAGATCTCTGCAGGTAGGGGAGTGGATTGGGAGGGTGATGAGCCAGGGGAACAGCCGGGAGCAGGGCTCTGGGATTGAGGCAGTAGGCTCAGGAGCAGGCATTCCTCTTTCCTGGTTGGGAGAGAAGTGAGACAGGGTTGGGGGCTTCTCCTGAGCGCAGGGGGCCAGGCAGTAGAACTCTTGAGTAGCCTAGGGAGAGGGCACGGGGGTCCCTGGTTCAGGCCTCACCTGGCGCCTGCAGAACTCCTCCGGGCAGTGCTCCATAGCCTTTCCCAGGACCAGAGTGGGGGCGATTAGAGAGGCACCGAGCTCGAGTTTTGGCCTGATTTGTACTTGGTCCTGGACATCTGGATGTCGAGAGGGAGGGAGAGAGATGGTGGGCTGGAGATGAGTACTAGAGGCGAGGTGGGTTGGGGACTTGTGGCATCTTCGGGGTGTGCAGCCAGATGTCTGCCCCAGACCTCCAAGGCTCCTACGTGCCAGTCCCTCCTCTGAGGTGCTTAGACTGAAAGCAGCTCCCCGCACCTTTCCCAGGTCCTTTTGTGAGCCCTCTGGCCTGGGCCTCAGAGTGGCGTAGCCTGTTAGTGGTGGCTCCTTCCTTGAGGGGCAGCCAACTGTGGGGTGGGGCCAGGCAGCCTCTTGGCAGCTCCAGGGTCCTGGGGGAAAGGACAGGCCCTGGGGGACACAGCAAAGTTCCCGCTCCTCCCTGGCCCTGCCCCTTGTGGGCCGTGCCCTACGTGGGGAGTCAAACTGTGGTTTCCCCTTCTAGTCTGCCAGCCAGTGATATTGGCCTTCCTGCTCTCCTCCCCCACCACCGTCAGGATCTCTTGAGTGCCAGGCATGGGGCTGCAGGTCCAGAACAGAGCATTGGGTCCCACGGAGGCTTTCTGAGCATTAGGGTTGTGGGGAGAGGGGGCTGCGAAACTCCCCCCGAACTGTAGCATCCTGGTCTGCTGCATCAAAACCAGTGGTTATTGGAGTCCCTACTGTGTGATTTCACCATTTAGGTATCGATAGTGGAAAGCCTGGGGTAGAAGAGGGCTTCATCCTTCTTGGAGTTCTTTGCTTGGTAGCCAGAACCCATCCTACTTTGAGTTGGGTCAGGGGCTGCTGGGTCTTTGGGGTTGCTTTAAGGCTAGGTCACTCTAGAACATACCTTCTCCCTTGGTCTCGGGCAGTTGGCTCCCACCCCTCCTCCAGCACACAGTCCCACCTGCAGCCATCCAACTGACCCTCAGCAGGCAGGGGCCCCAGGCCTTCAATGAGGGAGATCAGCCAGAAATGGGGAGGTGGGAAGGAATGAGTAGCTGGGGGCTCCATCCTCCTCCTTCCCTAGTCCTTGCTGACCCCAGTCACCGTCTCTGTCTCTGCAGAGGCTCGGGGCGGGCTGGGGGGACCCCCGCTGCAATCCGCCCGCTCCCTGCCGGGCCCTCCCCCCTGCCTCAAGCACTTTCCACTCGACCTGCGCACCTCCATGGATGGCAAATGCAAGGAGATCGCTGAGGTACCTTCCCTGTGCCCTCTGGTCCCCTTCCCTTTCCTGATGCATGACTGCCTGCGTACTGCTTCCCAGCCCTTTCCATCTTGGTCCTCACCCACACCTTCCCAACACAGCCCGGGCAGGGAGGAGTGTGCCGGAGACTGCCCTGCTGCTGGGGAAGGGCAGAGTGTGTTCATGCTCGCACGTCCTCAGAGGATGCCCCTGCCACCTCTGCTCTCTCTCGCCAGGAATTGTTTAGCCGCTCGTTGGCAGAGAGTGAACTTCGGAGTGCCCCGTATGAATTCCCGGAGGAGAGCCCTATTGAGCAGCTGGAGGAGCGGCGCCAGCGACTGGAGCGGCAGATCAGCCAGGATGTCAAGTGAGCCCCTTCCTCTGCTCTCTGCCACCCCCCAGTCACAGCCCTCCCTAGAGCCGAGCCAGCAATCGACCACACTGACCCTGGAGGAGAGTGCCCCACTGTAGTGAAACCTGTGTTACAGGCCTTAGTTGTCCTTTCTTTTATTGAAGCTTTAATTATATCTTCTGAGTTAATGGGTTTCCCCCCCTTTGTCTTGTCTTTCCTTCCCTGTTTGGCTAATAATTCAGGAGGAGGGAAGGGGCTTATTATTCTACTCTCCACTACTCTCATCTCCACCAGCCCCCCCCCAATCAGTCCCTTGCTCCCCAAAGGGAGTGTTATTGTGTGGGGCGGGGTTCATTGCCCCAGTTCATGCTGTTTCTTCCTGTCTCCAAGCCCTGGACCCACTTCAGGCCCTTGTCAGCTGCCTGACCTCTTTTCCCTCAAGGTTGGAACCGGACATTCTGCTTCGAGCCAAGCAAGACTTTCTGAAGACGGACAGCGATGCGGACCTACAGTGAGTGATGACGAAGGCAGGGGATAACCTGCTCCCTACTTCCCACCAATCCATTCACCGTTTTTGTTTTTGAGACTATTTCCCTATCTCACCTATACTGGAAGTGCCATGGCTGGGGCTGATTCCATTACCGGGGAGCTTGGCCACGCTCGTTCTCTGACCCTGGCTAGTTGGCCCGTCCTTGGGCAGCCTGGTGGCCCCTGCACTCCCAGGGACTCACTGTATTGCTAGATTTAGTACAGACACCTGATCAGCTTTAGCCTTAGTTCAGGTCAGAACCCCTGAGCTCAGGAGATGCGCCAGGCTCAACCTCCCTCAGAGTAGGCATTATTATAAGTCTGTCCCCTGCCTTCCAAACACAAAGGTTTGAAAAGGAATGTGAGTGGGATAAGCCCCTGCCCTAGCCCCCTGCTACCTCCCTCCCTCTTCCCCTTCCTTTACTTCTTAGGGCTCTCTCTCTCTCTCTCTCTCTCTGCAGGTTGTACAAGGAGCAGAGTGAAGCTCAGGGTGACCGTGGGCCCAGGGAGCGAGATGGGCATCTGGAGCTAGAGTTTCAGAAGGTCTCCATCTCTGGGGAGGAGAAGTGTGGGGTGAGTGTGGCCTGGACAGGTGGAGGAGCTGTAGGGCCTGGGTCACAGGGATTCTGCCTCCAGGGCTCTGGGATCACTCTGAGCTTGGCCATCTGGGAACTCTTAAGCTGCCTCTTCAGCGCCTAAGCAGGAGGAAGTCCTGGGATGAGGGGAAGGAGGGGGCAGAGCATATGCAGTGGGCACAGAGATGACACCTGGGAAAAGGACGTGTGAGAACGAGCCCTCCTCCCCTGCCTCCACCCCTCGTCCGCAGGTACCATTCACCGACCTGTTGGATGCGGCCAAGAGTGTGGTACGGGCGCTGTTCATCCGGGAGAAGTACATGGCCCTGGGCCTTCAGAGTTTCTGCCCCACCACTCGACGTTTCCTGCAGCAGCTGGCCGAGAAGCCCCTGGAGAGCAGGGCCTTTGAGCAGGGCCCAGAGACCCCTGTCTCTGCTGGTGTGACGTCCTCTTTTGTTTCCCTTCTGCTCCTGTTCCCGGAAGAGGGGCCCCTAGGACTCCCCATCCTGACCCTGGGGATGCATTGTGTGCATTCCTTTTCCCTCCCCTGCATGGTCACAGGCCTTGTGTCCAGTCTGACTCCAGCCCTCCCTGGCTTCCATTCCTTTTATCTGTCCAGGCCCCGTTCAGATCTGCATGGGTTTCTGGGGCCGCCAGACTGGGCATGCCTTAGGCTCGGACGGACCCATGTGTAAAGCTAGCCTTTAGGGGAAATGAAAGATGGGGTGGAAAGCGGTGGGGGCCGCCATTCTTCCAGCGGCCTGCAGGACTTAGTATCCTCTTGCACCTGGCCGTGGTGTGGTGGCCCCAGGCTCTTCACCTGCTCCAGGTCTGGGCTTGGGGAGCAGCTCTGGGCCTCCTTCTCTAGACCCTTCTTTGGGTGAAGAAGGAGGCAGAGCTGGGGAAATACCCATGGTCCTGACCCCTGCCTTCTTCCCCACTGACACACATGCCAGATGCTCCAGTCCATCCCCCCGTGCTGGAACAGCACCCTTACGATCACTGTGAGCCCGCCTTCATGCCTGGGGACCTGGGCTTTGGCCTCCGCATGATCCGGGGAGTTGTCCATGTCTACCTGAAAAGGGATCCTGAGGAACAGTAAGTGGGAAGGAAGGGCGGAGGGAGGGAAGAAGAGGAGGGGATGATCAGTGGCAGATTGTGATAGAGAGAAATGCAGAGATTCAGGCTCGCCCCTAGAAGGCAGCTGGGCAGGGGCGGAGGGGGCTCGGGCAAGGGAGAAGGGTCCCCGTGAGGGGAAGGTGGGCCATTGGAGTCGGCTCCCTCTCCTCAGCCCGGGCTCCCTGCAGGAACTCAGAGCTGGAGCTGCCGTACCCCGACCTCCAGGAGTTTGTCGCTGACGTCAATGTGCTGATGGCACTAATCATCAACGGTCCCATGTAAGCCCCCGAGCCTCCCGTGGCCCCCGGACCTCCTGCCACCCGCCCCCAGGCCTAGCTGGGGACCCTCAGGCCCAGGAGTGTGAGCTCCTGTCCTTTACCGTTTCCCAGAAAGTCCTTCTGCTACCGTCGGCTGCAATACCTGAGCTCCAAATTCCAAATGCACGTGCTGCTCAATGAGATGAAGGAGCTGGCCGCCCAGAAGAAGGTGCCCCATCGGGACTTCTACAACATCAGGAAGGTCGGCTCTCCCTCGTCCTTCTTTCTCCTTTCTTTTAAAAAAAAAATCCAGTACCTTATTTTTATTGATTTTTGTTTTCGAAGAGATTCTACATTTCTAAAGGTATCTCTCTCCTCTCACCTCCCAACAAGCCCTCCCTTGTTACAAGAATTAAAAAGAGGAGGAAAAAAAGCAGTTCAGCAAATCTGATGAACCCATCAACAGTGCCTGACCCTCTGTGCCATAGTCCAGAGTCCCTCCCTCTGCTCAGAGGCCAGGCCCCTTCTCTTTCCTTCTCTGCTTTCCTCCTCTTCTGCTGTCTCACTCTCTCACTCTTCTGTGCTCTTCCCTTCTCTCCCCTTCCTTCTCCTTTCTCTTTCTTCCTTTCTCTTCCTTTATGTCTCTCCCTCCCCTCCCATTGTTTCTCTCTCCATCTTTCTTTTCTTCTGTTTCTCCTTCTCTTCCTTTCTTTCTCTCTCCCTGCCTAGTCTTTCTCCCTCCTGTCTCTTTTCCTCCTTTTTCTCTGTCTGTGTGTGTGTTTCTGTCTCCCCTCCTCTCTCGCCCTCCCTCTCTCCTTCTTTTCCTCCCTCCCTTCTTTCTCTATCTCTCCACTATCCCTCCTTCTCTCCTCCTCCCTTCTTTCTCTCCCTTCTATCTCTTCTCTCTCTCTCCCCTCCTCTTTCCCTCCCTCCCTCTCTCCATCCCTCCATCCTTCCCTCTCCCTCCCTTCTTTCTCTTCTTTCTCTCTCTCTCTTCATTCCCTTTCTCTCCCCCTCCCCTTCTTTCTCTGTCTCCTATCTCTACCCTCTCTCTCTGTCTCTCTTTTCTCTCCATCCCTTCCCTGTCTTCTCTCTCTCTTTCTCTCCCTTTCTTTCCCCCTCCTCCCTCCCTTCCTTCTCTTT